CACCCACCCACAGTCAGCAGAGTCTCTACTTCCTTCTATCACCGCTTCAGGCTGCTGGTTGTGGTGGGGAACAGGCCATTTCTGCTTCTCCTTGCTTGCTTTTCTACACCGTCCACACATTTATAGATTCCTTTTATAACACTGCCTTCAAATCACCCATCCAATTCACTGCCATAGTCCTGAGAGAATCCTCCTCTTCTCCTTCACTCCATGATACACTCAGGAACAAGGTCAAGTGGTCTTTATTTTCTAAAAGTTCTTCTTCCTTATTCATGTCTTTACAATCACCCAAATCTAGTGCTCACACCCTCTCCGAGCAAGGACAAAAGTCTTTCACTTCGAATCTGAACTTCCTATCTTGCCCTTCTCAACTTAATTCATATAAAATACCAGGTTAATGATCCTTCTGAAGTCTCTGATTTTCCTATATACAAAACCCTACACTGGCTACCGTACCAGTAAGAGGGTAACTTCCCGTCAGACAGCTTGCTTTTTATGATACCTTCATTTCAGAACGGCTTTACTCAATGGCCAATTCAACTTCAGATTCAACTCCATTCACTCATTCAGTGCCGGCAAGTTTCCCACAGTATTTCCCCATTTAATCTTTACGAGAACCTTGCACATTGTCATTTTATTGCTCACATTTCGTACATGACAAAATTGTGGCTCAGAGACATCCTCTGTTCTGTCCAAGAGTGCAGAGGACGCAGCACATCCTGAACTTGAACTCTGGCATGCATATCCCAAAGCTTGGGGGGTTCTTACTTCTTGCTCCATGATGTCTTTACGGGCTTATGTGATCTTGGAGTACCCTCTCCAGCAAAACAAAGTCAACTCCAAAAGGGGAGATTGTGGGCAGGCCAATCCATGCTAAAGACCACGGAAGTGGCCAGAGGCAGAAGGAGGCCTATGGCCCAGTGGAAAATGTGCTGGTCCCATTGCCCATGCTGCACAGGATTTGCCCCACCTTGAGGGTGGGCTGTTTCTGGGCTTTGCACATAGGGAAGCCATAGCATTCAGGAGCTGTGGAGATTCTGGTGCAAGTGAGGAACAGGAGACTTTATGGGGCATAGAACTGATGCTAGTGTTCAGGACCATTGGTACATGATATGCCAACCCAGTCTCCCTTGGTTTTGGAACTCCTGGTATCAACATAGGAACTGGGACACCAAAAAGGAACATTCAAAGATATAGTGTTGTCTAAGAGCAGTATTTATGGCTCAGGGCACTGAGAGTGAGCAATGTGGGTCATAGAAATGCCCAATGTACAAGCCAGACGAATATCTCAGAATGTGTCACGGCTGAGGATGACATGGCACAGCACGTACGGAGCTGTGGGCTTCAATACGTGACCGACACGGATGAGTGGGTAATAACAGAGACCAGGCTTGGAAGGAACAGGGCCAAGGTGCGCTGTGAACGCATCTCAGGGAGACATTAGCAGGACGGGGGACTGGGAGGGCTTCACCCTTCAGAGCTGGGTGAAGAGGCCAGAGTGGTGAAGTGTGAGAGGGGGCAGCATAGGGGCTGGTGCTCAGGGGAAAGGCTTTCTAGGAGGAAGGAGCCATGCCACGAAGGTGGCAGGAACAAGCCTCCGAGGGTGTGGAAAGAGGCAAATGCAGCAGTGACTCAAAGACTGGTGCCGTGTAGAAGCAGTGGGACCGGTGAGGGGGTCAGAGCCAGGCTACGTGGGACCCGACAGAGAGTGATGCGGAGAGCAGATGCAGGGGAATGACGGGAGGGAGCTGCAGTGATGAGGGGAGACCAATTAGGGATGTCTCTGTAGTCGGGGAATAAGTGACAGATCCTTGGAATTAAGCTGGGCATGCTCAGGAGGAAAGAAAGTCTAGTGAAGCTTCTTGTAGATGTCTAAGTGGCAAAAATTGTTTTTGTCCTCTCTCTGGAGTTCTTTTCCTAAGGGAGCCAAGGGCTGGGATGAGCCCAGGTTTTCTGGGGCCATGGTGGCTCGCTCCTGCTGCTGGAGTCTTGCTCCCTTTTCTAGGAGCTCCCACCACTGTTTCCAAGGGTCAGACACCACCTGTTGTATCTACCCAGGTCTGTCTGCCACCCCACCCATCGGCTCCAAATTACCCCTCTCTCCCAGGTGCCCGCTGCTCGGCATGCCAGTGCTCAGAGAGATTTCAGGAGGAAAGACTCCAACAAAACTAAAATCTGCACAGGGCAGTCACGGAATGAACACTCTCCTGATTCTATCAGTTGAGTGATGGGTTTCTTAGTAAAACAAATTACACATTTTTAGAAATAATTTCCTTGTAATCCCATTTCACTCTCAAAAATCACAGTCCAGAGACATTTCTCAATTCACAGTGAAGGTCTGACATTCGAGGGGCTGAGTGACCTGCTTGTTAATATCTTAAAGCCAATCAGTGCCAGTGGCTGCGGTGATTCCCAGAGTGACGATGACAGCCTGACCATCCTACTGATGACATGATTCCAGACTTGTCCGTGTCACTCTGTATTTAACACGAAACATTAACAGTCTCCAGTTCATTCTAATTGTACAGCTGAGATAACCATGCTGAAGATGACACAGCTAATCAAAGTAATGAAAGCCTCTGATCCTGGGGTCTGAGCTCCATCAAGTCCCAACCACAGCCTGAGCTCTTCTCCAGACAATGCAATTAGAAATTTATCAATAAGCTTACACTTTGGTGTTGGCATTTGAGCCACTAATTAGGAATTGTACCCACGGTCAGATACATTGTACATCCAAGTGCCTTTTGTAATCCACCAATTAACTGCACAATGTGAAATTGCCAAATACCAACTACAAAGTCTGACTAACTAAACTGGAATAACAGTACTCATTCACAGCTTGGGTGGGAGAGTCTGGGGAAAAGCCAGGAGGGAAACACCTAGCGCCGTGGCTGGGGATGGGGAATAAGGACCAGCTGGGAGTGAAAGAAGCTCTAAGCAAGAGTTTCCATTAAAGACGGTTTCAGGAGTAAGAACTGGGTTAATAATTTCACATCTCATTTTCCTTAGATCAGGTGAGCCACGGACCTCCTGCCAATGCTCTGTCCCACTGAACTTATGGCCCTGTCACTCCTATGTGGCCTGATTTCTGCTCTTTCCATTTGCAGACTCCCTGAGTTGGGGGAGACCTCAGTGGTTGCCACTCCCAGAGCTGCAGTCTCCTCTACAGTGGCCCCGGTTATGTGTTCAGAGAAGCATTTCCTCTTATGGGGAGTTCAGGAGCTCCTGAGGCAGCCCCAGCCATTTTGCTGTTTATTTTCCACTGCTCTTGCAACGTAAACACTCTTGTTGCTTGGAAAAACTAAGTGAAGCTGGAATGGCATCTTTGTCAGTTCTCATCTTCTGCAGTGTTCAACTCTATTATAGATGGTTGTTTCTTTAAAAAAGAAAAAAATATCTTTCTTTTTTTCTAGAATGCTCAATGTTGCTAACTGGAGAAGAGGAGAGGGCAGGATCAGTTGCGTATTGCCTTTCTTAGATCCTTGAAAAATAGATGAGCCATCTCTTCCTCAATCATTTGGTGGAAAAAGACACCCATAGACATATATATATTTTTTCCTAGACATAGTGAGAAAGTGACAGGCAAATTCACATCTTTATTTGTCTGGAAGCACACATATATAAACACCCAGCCCTCCAAATCATAGGGTCTATGGGATTTTGCTGTTTCTCTGAGCCTGGTGTGGAGCCAAAATATCATTCCAACAGTCAAAATCAAGAGGCGATATTTTCTGGCTATAAGAGGCAAAGGAGCCCAGCCTCACTGCTTGCTTAGCATAGATATGTAATACAAAACCGAGGACGGCCGAGAGATGAGTCATACAAACACATAGTAAATAAATATATTTCACTTCCATCTCATTGGCTTTTGCCTTTGTTTTCCTCTTCTCTATGCCAACGGCCTTGAAATGGAGGAGGGTGAGGAAACACTGGGTTTTGGCTGGACATGATCTCAACAAGGTGCTGATGTTTCTAGCCTTGCTGCTCAATTGTAGCTTTTTCAGAAAAAATTAACCCCACGAAACTTGTAGATTCTTAGATTAGAAGGGTCTCCTAGAGTCTCTGTTTGCAGGTGAGCGCCAGGGACGCAGAGCTGGGACTAACAGCAAAGTCAAAAACCCAGGGAGGTGAACACAGGCAGAGTCCGAGGGCTCCACAACCCCCACCTGATGCTGGAACGGCCCAGACAGGGGAAGCTGACAGCCAAGTAGAGAGTGAGACTCACTCAGCTGTGCTCTCCCAGGGCATGGCTCTGCTCCTGGCACCCCAGCTAGTGCACACGGTCAGAGGGACAGCAGTGAAGAAAGGGAGACTATGCCTCTTGTAGTGCTGAATGCATTTCTCAGCAGGCGAGGCCCACCCCAGAAGCAAAATGTCTGGTCCCGGTTCTGCAAGACAGTTGTTGCCTCTGGCATGTCAGGCCTGTCACCTGAAGGGTTTGGCCCTTTTTCGCTTTCTGGCGGGGTGGAAATCAGTCTACAGTGGGTGGAGAAATCAGCCCCACCACGCTGAGGGGTACAAGAGCTGGTTCTTTCCCAGCTTCGGGACCAAAGGTGCCTGCATGAGCATTTGTTCATCAAATTGCTCTTTTCCACCCCACTGCCTGCCGGTGTCCGCCCACGCGCCAGCCTCCCTGCCTTCCCCTGTTCCGGGATGAGCTGGGCCTCCATGGTTCTCCAGATGTGGACATGGAGCCCCATGTCCAACAATGGCCACAGTGCTGCTTCCTAGGCCTTCCCGGCATGGCTAGGAGGACACAGCAGCCTTCCCACCAGAGGAATCAGGCGCCGCTGATTAAACATTAGCAAAACCGTCACGAAAAGCCAGCCTCCAAGGCTAATCCTCTGCCAGGGAGCTCAGAAAGCACCAGAAGGAGTCGGGGGTCAGGTATCCACGCAGATGCCAGGCTTCCTTCCTCCTTCCTGGCAGCCGGGCGCAGGCTCCTGCACCTCCCGCCCCCACCCCTGTTCCCATGGCAAAGGAGAGGAGGATCCACTTACTGCTCGTGTTCATGGTGAAGCCTTTGCACTGGGTCTTTCATTCAATACGGAGGCCCCGGTGGCTTTTGAAATCTTCCGTTCTCCCCACCTCACTCATCACCTGGGGGTGAAAAGGCAGTCCAGGGCCAGCTCTGTATCCTCAGGTGCTCTCTCCCAGCCGTCCCCGTCCGCCCGGCTGGAGTCACCGGCCTTGAAGGCGAGCGGACCCGCGGGCGCCGGCGGGAGCGGA